CCAAGAATGTCCCCACTTTATTAGCTTCTGGCGTTCCTACGTAGCCTGCTGGAGGCGAAGGAGGAAGGCTGAGAGCAACAGGCTGAGATATTGAAACTTGGGAAGGTACTTGTTAATTTGTTAGTCTTGTAGAGAATCTGGGCTCAGTTCCCACCACTCACGTGGTGGCTCATAACTACCTGTAACTCCATTTCCAGAGGATCTGAAGTCCTCTTCTCACCTCTAAGGGTACAAGGGACATACATGCATATACACATAAAATAAATTAATAAATCTAAAAAAGATTTAAAGTCTGAACAAGTGTTTCCACAGACTAGACAAGACAACAGTTCCCTCCAATTTCATTTGGAGGAAATATCCTTGCCCCTCAAATTTCATTTCTTTCTGGATATTTCTCCTAGTTTTTCAAAGAAAGTAATGTAAGTCTGAAGCCTGGAAGAGTGTTGTAAGTGGAGGAAAAAAACCTGGCACCCTCTGCTGGCGAGATCTGGTACTGCTAGAAGGGCCCACAGTAGCTAGGCAACTAGAGCCTCAGAAGGCTCAGAGGAAAATCACAGGTAGAGGACGTAAAGTAACAGATGACATTGATTGTGGAGAAATTTCTATCTAAGGACGTAATAGCGATAGACGGCATTGATTGTGGAGAAATCTCCATCTACCAGGTGCTGGTGGAAAGCTGCCATTCATAAATTAATTCACATTCTAAGTCTCTAGTATTTGCTCTCAATAACTAGGAAGGATTCTGTACAAGCTGAGGGGCGTCCAGCTAGTAAGGGCTTCTTCAGAAGCAAACCTCAATTGGCTACAATTGTATGCTCTGTTCCACCGGTCGTATTTCAGTCCAGCTGAACAAGTTCCCTGACTCGAGCCATGATTTTGATCCCGTCTGGACAACCCATCTCTGATTCTAGACTCACAAACTCCCCTGAGCCCCAAGCAAGAATCCACCCACTCAGTCTCCTGTTCTTAGAGCCTGCATTGGCTCTTACCTCAGGGTGGAAGGCCTGTCTCCATACGAATCAGACCCTTCCCCAGTTTGAGAAGTATTTTCATTTGTCTTTCAGGGCTAGCAGTCAAATGCCTAGCAACAAAGCACAGGAAGGCAGAGGGAGATGGACGGGAGAGGAGGAGAATGGAGGGAGGGAGAGACAGAGAGAGAGAGAGAGAGAGAGAGAGAGAGAGAGAGAGAGAGAAGGAGGGAGGGAGGGGGAGAGAGAAACATGGGCTGATAATTTTTTCTGCAGGAGAGTAGCTAACTGGAAAAACAGGAGGGTTGAAGACCTTGAATACCTCAGTCAGGTCAAGGTATCCTGCAGCCATGACTCTTGAAGAGAAGACGATGAACCCCTAGGTCTGCTGGAAGGGAGGAGAGCTAAACCTCAAGGCAGCCATGATCTCAGCAGGAAAGCCCTTGACATATTTTGATACTCTGGTGCAGATCTAGCAGCACACATAATGTAGGTGTATAGATGTTTGCCCTCTACCCCACTTCTCCAGTGTACAGTGGTTTCTGCCTTTGTGACTGCATCTTTGAGATTACATTTGATCACGCTGGGCAACCTTGTCGGGGGTGGGGGTCATAGCTTTGCTTCGCAGGAATGACTTGGTCTCCCTTGGTTACCACAGCGACTGATCAAAACACTGTTCTCTGCAAAGGAAGGAACTTGGTGGGCTTTAGCCCCAAACTGAGGTTTGCTCTTTCCTTTAAAATAAAATAAAATAAAAACAACAAGCCTAGGTTTCCTTTCATGTGACTGATGAGCCCAGTGATTTGGGGTGTGCTGTTTAATTCCATAGCTTCGGGTTCTTCATTTAAACATGGAGATAATAGCGATATCCTTCTCATATGGTTGTAATGATGAACTGAGATAATGCATTTGTCCCAGAACCTGTCATAAAGAAACGCCTCAATAGATCAAATCTAGTATTTTCATTTGCTCTATGGGCTCCAGTTTCTGGTCTAGAAAGAATGAGCATAATAATCAACTTCTTAACATGGTTATAAGAACCGAAGGGTTAGACCTATGTCTAGCATACACCTCACCTGGCTCCTTAACAGTATGAGAAATACTGTATATACCCTGAGTTTTACAGATTTCATTAAAGTTTCTAACCATCTAACTTTTCATCTCAGTTGTATTTTATGGATTTCTGTCTGTTTTCTCTTCCCCAACTTAGGGTTTTGCAAATGTCTCTGGTCATCTGGGCAGAATCTATTGTCTTCTGACAGGGCTGGCTGAGATGCACTTGATTCAAACTTACACACTTTTAGGGGGCACACTCTTACTCTCCAGTGCTTCATGATGCTGTGGTCATTCTCCAGGCTCCAAAAGACTCAATTCTGAGCCCTTCCTATTCCGCACCCTCTGTGAAAGTGGAATCCAAGTTTTTTCCTCCAATTATAATAGACAGAAATTTGTTTGTTACTACTTTTGTCTTCTGAATATGGCAACAGGAGCTTTGCAGGTATAATTAAAATTAATAGTTGGCTTATCTTGATACAGAGAAATCATTCTGCATTATTCAGGCTGATCTTGCCTAATCTGATGGGGCCCCACGAAGAAGAGCCCGTTGTGGAATATTTAACTATATAAAGGTGTGTTACATTTGTTTAATTATGAAAATATTTGTTGCATTTGTTTAATTATGTAAAGATTGCTGCTGTTTCATCTTGCCTGCCTAAGGCACCTGATTGGTCTAATAAATAGCTGAATGGCCAATAAATAGGTGGAATAGCAATAGGGAGGGCTGGGGGACAGAGAAAATAAGTAGAAGGAGAAATCTAGGCTAAAGAAGAGGGAAGAAGAAAAGAATGAGGGAAAAAGAGAGAAACATGCCTGGGACCAGAAACCAGGCAGCTGCCAACCAGCCAGACACAGAGTAGATATACAGAAAGAAAGGTAAAAAGCCCCAAGGCAAAATGTAAAGAGAAACAGATTAAAATAAGAGCTAAGATAAAGCCAGGCATTCACAATGAACAAATCTCCTTGTCATGATTTGGGAGCTGGTTGGTGGTCCAAAAGAAAAAGCCTGGTACAAGAGCCTTTCCCTTGTTTTGCTCCTAGAAGCGGGATTGTTTGGGAGGAAAGGTGGGGTGTGGTGCTTAAAAGAGGCATGTATCAAAAAACTAGAGAGCTGAGTCCTACAGTCAAGATGGACAAATTCTGCCAATAGCTGGAATGAATCCGGGAGCAGATTCTTCCCCAAAGCCTGCAGCTAAGAGCCTAACCTGGCGGCCATCTGAAGAGAGCCTAGATTTGAGTCACATACTGTGAGGTAATAAGAGGTGCTGTTTTAACCTGTGAAGTTTGTGGTAAGATATTAGAGCAAGAAAAGAAAACACTAACAGAATCCTCAATTCCTGTTCTTTTAGTCTTAAGGACTATTTTACCCTCAGGTCCAGAAGTTTTGGTTCTTTCAGCTCCAAGCTTGTGTAGACAGATGGGAACATTTGCTTCTGAGTGAATTGTCAAGTCCTAAGGGAACTGGATTTCATAAATGGGGCAGAAGTTTCTAATGATTCTTGGTTTGGATGCTGTGATTCAAAGTACCTTATATTAGGGGATGTAAACATTTCAGTTATTCCCTGTGATGGAGAGGAGGGTGAAGCGTGTGGTACTCAGTGACTGCTTCAGCAACATTTCTTCTCTTACACAGAAGTGTCTCGCTTGATGCTCATTACATACTAAGGCTTTTTTAGACTAAAAGAATTTATTTTTATTTTTGTTACTAAAGGAACTTAAATTTGTGCTCTAACCTACCTCAACCCAGCACAGTCCCAAACTGTGAAAGCACTGGCTCTGCCACTGGAGGACTCCATACGGTGGCATCACACCCCTCCTCCTAGAAGAACACAGGAAGAAGATGCACATCTGGCCTTGAAACTTTACTGTCCTGCATACAGGAGGTTGGAGCTGGCCCATTATCACTGTGTTGCTGCAGATGAGGGTTCTATGAAGTGATAAGACTCACCTATTCTAAGAGTGTCCATCCCACTAATAAGCCTAGTTTCACTTCACTAAGTCCATCATGTATGTGATGAAATCATTCACATCATACCCACCTGTCCCGCGCTTCCGTCTCGCCAGCAAGAACCACGTGGTACACATAGGATACTTCTGCAGTAAAGCTTTAATGCCCCTTGGGAGAGCGGGCATCAGCCAACATGGCGGAGACCCAGATAAGATGGAACCCATCCCTTATATAGGAAACAGACCCTGCTTCAGACGTGTCATTCTTGGATTGGTCAACTGCTCCCAGTCCCAGGTGATACCTTGGGAGTAGTGGAAAAATACCAACACGTGTGAGCTTTCTAGCTCACCTGGCGGTGCAGCGCCATCTATGGTGGAGAGTGTGGTTGCGGCCTTCTACACCCACCCATTCTAGTTCGGTGGGATTTGAGGCACAGATGGTAGAGAAAGCTCTTAAGGAAATAACTGGCTTACCTTCTTCTAGCATTAGACTTATGTGCTTATGATGTGGGAGGCCCTTCTGTTTGTGTGTTGCTTTTATTGGTTAATTATTAAAGAACTTCTTTGAGCCTATGGCAAGGGCAGAACAGAACTAGGTGGGAAAAGCTAGGCTGTATGCTGGGAGGAAGAAGGGCAGAGTCAGGGAGAAACCATGTAGCCCTGCCAGAGACAGATGCCACAACTTCAGCGGGTAAGCCACAGCCATGTGGTGATACACAGATTAATAGAAATGGGTTAAATTAATATGTTAGAGTTAGCCAATAAGAAGCTAGAGCTAATGGGCCAAGCAGTGATTTAATTAATATAGTTTCTGTGTGATTACTTCAGGTCTAAGCTAGCCGGAAGGCTGGGAACCAACAAGCGGCATTTCCTCCAACATGCTTAGGCTCACCTCACTATATTCATCACATGTATATGTGTGCACCTACTATGTACTGGGCAGTTTGGGCTCTGGAAACATAGAGATGAATGAGATAAACCCATTGCCAACCTTATGAAACTCAGATTTTATTAATAACTCACAAAATAATTACACATTTTAAAATGTTTTAAGGTGCAATAACCCTCTTAATTATTATTATCTGTCCTGATAATGACCTTATCATTAAGCTGTATCTATAAGTTACACATCAGGTTCATTTACAACCCTGCCTGGCCCAGCTCAGACCTGAAGTCTGGCCATGACCTGGTGGAGTTGAAGTGGTGACCTAGAATGAACGCAGTTAAGACATTCTATCAGACTTCCTTCCTGTAGCTCCAACACTGCCTTTGTCCTATACCAGCAAGGCTCCTTTAAATGTCCCAAAGCTACCCTGACACTCCCTGCGCATTCATCATTCTCTGTGACTGTGGGTTAAGTGGGTGTAAGTCACGGTTATGCTTTTGAGAATGTGCATGTGCACAGACAGAAACATTGTATGTGGAGCTCAGCCTTGAGCCAGCGCTTGCGGGTGTATGTGTGTGTTTTGGCGAGTACGGGGCAAATGTATGCTATCACCCACATCTCTAGCTAGGCACCTACAGACCAATATACCTAAGTCTCTGTGACCTAGCAAATAGGATGGCAGTTTCTGCAGACAAGCTTTCCTACCATTCTGGATTCACTTGGAGCTGGGAGCCCTGGGGTCAAGATGGGGTCATTATATGCTGGAGGGTCCCTCCTGGCCAGCCTTTTCCTCTCCATTCTTGGAAGTTCCTTCCCCAGGCTCAGCCTCATCATCAGCCTCAGCCATGTCCTCTGGCATTGGCCACTCTCGAGTCTGCCACTCCAGTCTTTCAATGCGGTAAGCAATCTTCAGCGCACTGGACTCCAGCTCAGCTAGTAGGCGAGCAAACTTGGTCTGTAGATCATCCAGCTGCTGGTCAAGACCTTTTAGCCGAGACTCTGTGGCCTCCTGGAGGGCGATCTCAGCTGCCTCAGCATTCACATCCAATTTATTCATTTTGAGCAGGATCTCACGACCCTTCTCCTCCATGACGGCCTGGGCCTGTGGATACTCACTCAGCACCTCCCGCAGATCCTCCTTGCTGAGGCAGAACAGGTCTGAATAACCTAGGCTCTTGATGTTGGCTGTCCGTCGGTTTCCAGACATGTTCCCTGTGGTTCAAGGGCAGACAGATGTGAGGAGAGTAGTTAGTAGGGACAGGAAGGTGGCATTCACTCCTGAACCAGGATATAGCCACATTGGTGTTTCTGACTTCCTTATTTTTCTGCTTTATTTTAGTAATGTGTTGGAGACCAATCCCTGTGCTTATTAACCTGCCTTGATAGATATTTAATGGGGCAGTTATATAACAACATGGCTGGTACAGTAACTTTCTGCTGGTTTGTTGGCGTTTCCACCAGAGCCCATGGAACATATCTGCTTTGTTTTCTAAGAAACCACCCTAACCAATGACCTTGGCTCATTTTCTCCCCAGGGAAGAAATAATCTACATCTTGCTTCTCTCCTGAGTCCTGTAGCAACTCAGACAAGGGCCAGATCTTCTTAATCTATGTGCCCCAAAGTACCATCTTGTCCTAGGGTTCTATCCCTAGCCCTTCCCCTTGGGGACTCACCTTTGATATTGATGATACTGATCTCCCCAAAGTAGAGCCCTGCACCGAGCACAGCATACTGTGTGACACCATCATCGGCCACCACAGCCAGCTGACCCTCACGGATGATGTACATCTCTCGGCCGATGTCTCCTTTGCGGCACACGTACTCTCCTGGTGAGTAGGTCTGGGGCTGGAGCTTTAGCACCAGCTCCTCCAGCAGGCTGGCTTCACAGTTCTGGAAGATCTGGACGCGGCTCAGGGTAGACAGGTGGACGGACACAGCAACCTCTGCCCGTAGCCGCTCCGGCAAGTGCTGCAAGATGGCTACCTCGTTGGTCATCTTCTTGTTGATCTGCAGATGCTGGTACCTGGGAGAAAGGCAGTATCATTTCCTTACCAGAACCCCGTGTATCTGCCTCCACCCACTCCATCAGGACTCAGCTCAGCCAGGAACCCAGGCACACTGAGTTCTCAAAAGAGCAAAGGGAGTACCTCACAGTTTTCTGGTCGCCTTTCTTGGTGACAGACATGGCCTGTTCTACTTCCTACAAGGTGTGAAGGCCCCTCCTTCACCTCCAGTCAGGTCCCACCCCAGCCACAGTGTCTGATACCACTTCTACACTGAGTTGCTTTTGTCAGCAAGCTCCCGCCCTCTCAGACAGCTTTGTGGTGGTGCTCTGACATTGAGACGTTTCCTTTTATTCAGAACATAGCTTGCATTATCTTGATGTAATCAACCATATGTTGGCCATGTCCTGGCTGGATAGTTCACTTCTCCACCAGCCTTTCAGAGTCTCCCAGATCCCCCCAGGCCATGGCAGCTTTCATTCTCCGGTCTCTGTTACTCTTGTACCCAAATGACTCTCCTTGTCAGTCTTTTGTCCACTCTTTTCCCCTAGTCCAGATCTTAGTGGAAAACACCACTGTCTAAGCCTATCCGGCAGACCTACTAATGAAGTCTATCTTCCAACTGCCTGAGATAGCCAGTAGGTAAAGGACAGGGTCAATAGGCTCAGGTCCTAAGGCATCCATTCTTTCCCCTAGCTGGGTCTGCAGCCAGCCCTCTCTCACCAGTCAATGACCCGTCGCTCCAACCTCCGATTGACGCGCTGCAGCTTCATGTACTTCTTTACCAGAGCGTGGTCTGGGTAGAAGGCTGCATCTGCAGTGTTCATGTTGTAAATGACAGAGCTCATGCTACCCATGATGGTGGCGAAACCCATGACAGCCAGCAGGAAGTCACCCACCATGAAGAGGTACTCTTCCTCCCGGGCTGGCAGTGGCGTGTCACCCACAGTGGTCAGAATTAGAGTTGAGAAATAGAAGCTGTAGAGATACTGGCGCCGCAAGCGCTCAAAGCCAGGCTGCGCGGGATCTGGGTATACCCATGCATCCCGTCCGAAGCCCAGGTACCTGGACAGGGCAAAGTATAAGCAACTGTTCCAATGGATGACAACAAAGATGTAGAGCATCAGCTTGGCGATGCGGAAAGCATTCGGGTAAGCTGTGCGGGTCTCTGTGCGATCAAAGGCCTCAAAGAGGCGGGGTACACGGAGAAAGCGGTTTAGCCTGAGTGTGGGAATGTGGGGACCCAGCCGCACATAGGCCGCATCCGTGGGGACCAGGGAAGCCAGGTCCAATAGGAAGCTCCAGGTGCGGACATAGCGACTGGCGATCATACCTTTGTCCACCACCAGGATGCCCTGCTCTAGGAATCCTAGGAAGAAAGGAGGAGATGGGCGGGGTCAACTGTGGGCAGGTCCGGAACAGGCCAGACATGAGGGCAAGATGGAAGCATGCATAACCTTCTCCATGATGTCTGGGGTGAGCCCTGTGACATTGTCAAGCACAGAAACACGTGACAGTGCAGTCCTAGAGGTAGCTGCTTTCTTAACACGTTCTTTAAGGAAATGTGAGGAAAAGGTTAGCCCCGGAAACTCACTGACCTGTGTGGAAGCGCACCCCGATGTCTAGTAGGTACAGCAGGTCACTCGTGTAGTCCAGGACAAACCAGGCCACCAGGTAACTGTGCTGCAAGTCAGGAAAGCAGGCTCTGCAGGACACGGGCAGAAGGGATTGGCTAGGACAGGTCTCTCAGTCTCTTCCTAGAGTCCTTCCAGGGAAGGTGCCTCCCCTTTAGGCCCTGTCCTCCTGGCCTGCCCTTCTCCTTGGCTTCACTCTTAAGTACAGCTTAAGGCCCCCTCTTTTAGTACCCCTGCCAAACCTGCATACAACGATGATGAGGTTGTACATGACTGGGAAGACCATCGTGTTCAGCCACCAGTAGTAATAATCCCCAGAAGGGTCTAGGACAGGCAGTCTCTTCCTGTAGGGAGAAGAGACTCCTCTTGTTTGTCCACCAGACACTCAATGATGCCCCAGGCACAGGCAATTAGACCTCACCTGGGTTTGGATGGGGCTGAGGGGCTGGACTCTGTGGTCTTCACTTTGCTGTCCTGACTCATTGTTCTGTGACTTGGTCCCAAGCCTGTAGGATTTCCAGTGCTTCTCTGACTACGGTGGCTTGAGAAAGTTGGGGCTAGTGCCTGGCTTCCCAGAAGAGGCTCCTTGGGGCTCCAGCTACGTATTCTGTCTTAGAAGCTCTTAGCAACACGACTTGGGCTAGCAGGTATGGAGTGGGTGGAGGCAACGTAGGTTCAGCGTAGATTCAGCACACTGCGCTGTCTCCCAGGGCCTAAGCTGGTTTACACCTGCCCAGCTAAACACCTTTAATGAGGTCCCTGGGGTGGTGGGAGGTGGATGCTTTAAAAGGAAGCTTCGCTTTCATTGCTTTTTTTCTCTCTCTCTCTCTCTTTTTTTTTTGCTTTCCCCTTAAGCCCATGGTATCAAGATCAGGAGATCCAGCCTGCCTTCAATGTAGGCTTGAATTCTGTTTTACCTTATATACACTCTCCATTTGGGCCTAGTTATTGATGTAACAATTATGTTCCAAGTGGCTCATTCATGTCAGGTGGTAAACTAGTCTCTAGGGACAAAGGGGTGCCTCTCACATCAGAGGTGTTTTCATTAGCTACATCTTAATCTACATACATATCACCTAATCTTCTGGGGCGTACGTGTGTCATATTAGGCTCCTTTGCCCTCAATCCTTTCCTATTACCTTCCATGCCCAATACCATCAGCTATTGGACATACTTCATAGACCCTCAACTTCCTCAACTTTTTCTGTGAACATTTCTTTTCATAATAGAACAAACAGATCTCCTATAATGTCCCCGTCAAGCTGATGTCCCTGTCAGTATCATGATCTTTTTCAGTCAAGAAGTCATCATTAAAATTCTAGCTATGTGTCAGGCCAATATTGTGTTAAGTGAGTGGGACAACCCCACAGAAGCTCAGTCTTGCAGGAGGAATGTTCACTAGGGTAGGATACATTTAGGTAAATGCACAAGGGCAATTCTTGCAGAGACTGGCAAGTACTCTGTTAGATGGGTATGTAGAGGGCTCTTATGGTAGTAGGAAGAGCTGTGCTCTGTAGGATAAGTAAGAATTAAGTCTAGAGATGGGAGAATGGACAGGTAGGGTGTTCAAAGTGTGCAACAGCAGAGGCATGAAAAATCGTGGTGACTGGGAGAATGTCAATAGTTTCAAAATACTTAAAAATAAATATTACTGGTGTTTGAGAAGTGTGTGTGTGTGTGTGTGTGTGTGTGTGTGTGAGAGAGAGAGAGAGAGAGAGAGAGAGAGAGAGAGAGAGAGAGAGAAGCCGGTGGTGACACACCTTCAATCCCAGCACATGTTGAGGCAGGTGGGTCTTTGTGAATTCAAGACCAGCCTGGTCTATAGAGTGAATTCCAGGATAGCCAGGACTAGACAAGAAAACTATGTCTTAACAAAACAAAACAAAACAAAACAAAAAGGAATAAAGAGAAACAGAGAAAGTGCATGGCCTCAGTGACTATGGAGGTCAGAGTACAACTTTTGGAGTCAGTTGATATATCTAGGGATCAAACTCTAGTGGTGAGCTGGTGTAGCGAGGGCTTTCACCTGCTGAGTCATCTTGCTGATCCCAAAATTTGCGCAAAGAGAGAGGGAGGTGACAAGAAAGGGAGGTAGTGATGAGAATGAGGATGAACGGTGGACAGAGGCCAGATTAGAGGAGTTCTAACACTCCACGAAATTAACTTTGATTTTTTTTATAGGCAATGGGGTAACGTCAGATTTATATTTTTGCAGTTTCTTGAAAGAAATATTTAAGTAAGAAATTTTTTCAAGATGCATTTATCCATAGCGTTTGCAATGCTACCATTTCTTGGTTTTCTGTTTATTTCTTAGTCTCTTTTATAAGCTTCTTTGCCCATCCCTCCTAGGTTAGTGTTTCCTCAAACACTTAGCTCTCACTCTTTCCATCTTCCATACACTTTCTGGCTGATCTTGGTCATTCAAAGGATTGCTTTGACATCTAGTAACTCATGAACTCCCTTGGGCTTCAGTCATCCACACAACTAACTGCACACTAAATCTGCTTTGATACCCACAGCCACACTGTCTTAGCCACTGTTCTATTGCTGTGAAGAGACACCATGGCAACTCTTATAAATGAAAACATTTAATTACAGTTTGCTTACAGTTTCAGAAGCTTGGTCCATTTATCATCATGGCAGAGAGCATGGCAGTAGGCATGGCAGGCATGATGCTGGAGAAGTACTTGAGAGCTACATCCTAATCCATAGACAGAGTGGGGAGGGTGGCATGGACTTTTGAAACCTCAAAGCCCACCCCTAGAGACACGCTTTTCCCAACAAGGCCACACTTATTAATCTTTTTTAACCCTTTCACATAGTTCTACTCCCTGGTGACTAAACATTCAAATAGATGAGCCTATGGGGGTCATTCTTATCCAAGCCTCCACAGGCACTTTCAACCTATTGCATCTGTAGCTTCATCTTTCTCCACCGAGTCTTCGTCTTCAACACCCATTTCTGTCCTTTCAGCAAAAAACATGGGGTCAGAATTTACTATTACGTAACACGGCAGATATTTGAAAAAAAAATGGCCTCAATTCTCTGATGTTTGTCACTTATGACTGCCAACTGATGGAACATAGAGAGAGATGCTGTGTGACATCTGAGGCTAGACCAGCAAAGATTCGGTTGGTTCTCTCAGAATGCATATTGTCAGGATCCTCGCTCTTTTAGATTTTATGAGAAACTCTGGATGTCTGAGCTGACTTCAGCCTTTTGGTTGTCCCATCCCAGTGCACAGGACTAAGTGAAGAAGCCTTTGGAGCAGCAGTTCTCAACCTGTGGGTCGAGACCCCCTTGGGTCCTGCATATCAGATATTTACATCATGATTCACAACAGTAGCAAAATTACAGTTATGAGGTAGCAACAAAATAATTTTATGGTTGGGGGTCACCACAACATTAGGAACTGTATTAAAGGGTCATTTAATTAATGCAGCATGGACAGGTAGCATGCCAATGGGAATATGCCCTTGAAGAGGATATTGAGACTCTGACATTTTCCATTTGTCCCTTTACTTTCAGGATGCTGTGAGGTGAGCTGCCTCCTTTGCCACATACTTGTGCCATGACATCCTTCCTCACCACAGGCCCAAAGGCAACCAAGGGCAGAAATTTCTGAGCTAAGATAAACTTTTTTCCTTTACCTTATTAATCCCAAGTATTTGTTGCAGTTGTGGACAGCTGACTAGTACATCCAGTATAGTATCTACTGCTACCACTGTAACAGCAATAGAGAAATATATAACTTGATACATTCTTGCAAACTGTGCTCACCCATCTCAGCACTCAGATGAAGAGGCAGAACTGCTATAGGCCTTAGGGATCATTCGTCTCCTTTCTAGCCAATGCCATTCCAGTGGTAAACATACCTTCATTTCCAATATCAATGTTATTTTACATGTTTTTAAATTTTTTTCTTTTTCCATTCTTCGTGGTGTGTATGTGTGTGTGTATGCGTGCATATGGTTGTATGTGAATGTGGAGGCCCCAGACTGATGAAAGGAATCATACTTGCTTGATCTTCCACCTTATTCAATGAGACATGTTCTTTCCAACAGACTTGAGTTACCATCAAAGCTGGGTACAGCTGGACCACCAGACCCACTGGTGTTTCTGTAGGTTCTGGGGAATCTGAACTCTGTTTCTTACACTTGCTCAGCCAGTACTTCAGTCACAGTGGTGTCTCTCCAGTCTCCTTTTATTGCTTTTAAATTTATATAGGATATAAATATTTACTCCTCTCCCCTCTTACAGATGCCCAGTCTCTAACCCTTCTAATGTCCACGTGCTCCCTTCTCTACAGTCTTACTATCCTATTTTGGACTTGCTGTTGAAAGACCTTCTGCAAAGGTGCCCTGTCAACTTGACCTTGTATAAAATTGTATCTCTCTATTGTTCCAAGAATACAATATAAACTAACATGGCCTACTAGTTCTGCAGTACTTTCTATGTCCATTTTCTCCTCATCTGATCTCATCTCTTTGCATGTTTCCAGGCTCCAGACACACTGAATTAGTTGCAGTTCTCAGTGTCTTGAGCATTCTGCCTTGCCTTAGGTCGAAATTTCCATTTTTCTTCTTTTTTTGAACACTTTTTACTGTGAACCAATTTTCGATTTACAGAAAAGTGGCAAAGATAAAACTGTAAACTCCTTACCCATGATTCTGTAATCCATCATTTTATGTAACTATAGAACAATGATCACAATCAGATAACAATAATATAAGTCAACAGACTTTATCAGAAACTATTTCTCTATCTTAGTCTTTCTCACTCTTGTTTCAGCCAGCATCTCCTTCTGGAAGCTATCCTCAGCTCCTTCATCTTCTATGCCCAGAAATCACGTTAAGTGCTGCTTCTAGATGCTTCTCTTTTTACAGCCCTGATATTGCATTCTAACTGTTGAAGAGACCGGTTCTAATGGATCAGGAACCCAGGCTGTCGTGTAGGAACTTATTCGGCGTTCTACGGGGTCATGGAAACTTTGGGAGGGTCAGGAAAAGGCGGTCCCCGCGGGTAGGAAGACAGAATCCAAGCGGCGTGCACACGTCCGGCGAAAGAAAATAAGCTACCTCGGTGGCAGTCAGCACAGTCTAGAAAGCCTTCTCTACAGGCCCTGCCCTCAGCCTGGCCCTTGGTGCAGACTTCAGAAGAAGCCCCGCCCAATTGACGCTGAAGCACCTCCCAGGACCTGTGGTCCCGCCCCCCGCCCTGGCCCTCGCCTCCGCCCCCAGTGGGATGCTGTCCAAGGCCAGGTCGTTCCCGACCCCGAGGCTTGTTCCTCCCACGGAGCAATGGTCTGCCCTCCAGTGCCAAGATTTCTCCTCAGGCCCCGCCCCTGCCCGCAGGCCACCGCCTCTTCTCCGGTCGGCCCCTATGACACACCGGAATCCTCAGGAGGGCGGAGCCTGAGGCGGGAAAGGGCGGGGCCTGCGGGTGCGGAAGCTCTTCTTCCGCGGAACGCGGATTGCGACCCCGCCCCTGCGCTCGGCCGTTGCCGGGAAACGAGCGTCGACGCTCTAGCTGGGGCCTGGGCGGGCCAATGAGCTGGCACGCCGCTGCCCAGCCGTGCGTCGCTGGGCGGTTGCGTGAGGTGCGCGGGGGCGAGGGCTGCGTGTGGCGCGGGGC